CTGAGATGAAAATTTCACTGAATGAGATTAGCAGATTAGATACCGCAGAAGAAATGATCACTGAACTTGAAGATGTAGTGATAGAATCTATCCAAAATGAAACCGAAAAGAGAAAATGACAGGAAATGTAAGTGAACAGACCCTCATTGATCTATGATACAATATCAAGTATTTTAACACATGTGTAATTGGAGTTCCCTGAGTAGAAGAGACAAGAAAAATAGAGAAAGATATTTGCAGAGATGGCCCCAAATTTCCAAATTTGATAAAAACTAAAAATCTGCAATCCAAGAAGTTTAAGAAACTCCAAGGACGACACACACACACACACACCCCAAAGCTTATCATAATCAAATTGTGGAAAACCAGTGATGATTAAAAAAAAATCTTAAAAGCAGCTAGAGAGAAAAGATACATTATGTTCAGAGGAACAAAGAATAATGAAAAAGTTATTCTCATCAGAAACCGTGGAAGTCAGAAGACAATGGGATGGCAAGACCTTCCCTGGTCATCCTTCTAAACCACCAACCCTCCCCTCTGCCCACCATATCACACTCTTTGTGGCCTTAATCACTAACTTACTGTGGTCTCTCTCTTCACTAGACTGTAAGCTCCAAGAGGGCAGGATAGTAAAACATCATTTTTCTCATTCACTGCTTTATCCCCAGTGCCTAGAACAATACCTAGTTATTTAATAGGTGCTCGATAAATACTTCATCTATAAAGTCTTCTTCCAGACAGAAGAGTATCAAGGCAGAGAGCAGTAGAGAGTCCTCAAATTACTAATAGTTCAGCACAATTACACCCCAAGATGTGCAGGGGGAGGGGGAGGAAATAAAGCTGGAATGTGAGAGCGATGGCAAGTCTAGAGGAATTTGTAGGATATGCCGTGGAACTGAGGCTTCATTCTGCAGGCAGGGATGTTAGGCAGAGGAATGCTAATACTCTACATTTTAGAAAAATTTTCCTGGGAACCCCTTGTGCCAGATGATCTAGAGAGGTGAGTTGGAGAGCGGGAAATAAATAGGGAGGCTATTAAATTAGTCCAGGTGAAAGCTGGTGCAGACCAAATGGAGGCCAGGAGCAGTGAGGATGGGTCAGCTCCAGAAAGTTCTTTAGGAGGTAGGATGTACAGGAGATACATTGAGCAGGAGTTGGTGAACAGCTAGATATGAAAGATGAAGGAGAGAGTTCTGACTTGTGTAATTGGGTGGATAAGGAGTACAGGAGGCAGAGTCAATTTTAGGGAAAGGATCATATTATTAATGTTATTAATCATATTAATCATATTAATGATCTATGGCTACATAGTAAATTTCCCCAAAACTTAGCAGCTTGAACTTACAAACATTTATTATCTCTTAGTTTGTGTGGATCAGGAACCTAGGCTTAGGGGACTCCCTCTTGTTCAGTGTGTCAAAAGGCTGCAGTGAACGTGATGGCCAGGCCTGTAGTCACCTCAAGGCCTGACTGGGGAAGGAGCCTGGGGGTAGGCCTCAGGTCCCCCTAGCTGTTGGCTGGAGACATTGGTTCCTTGTCACCTGGACCTCCAGAGGGCTGTTCCCAACACAGCAGCTGGCTTCCCTCAGAGTGTGTGAGCAAGAGAGTAGGAGAAGTCATCCCAAGATGGAAGCCACAGTCTTTTTATAATCAAATATTGGAAGTGACAGCCCATCATTTCTGCCCTATGCTGTTTTTAGAAACAAGTCACTAGGTGCAGTTCACACATAAGGGGAGGGGGTTATACAAGGGCATGATTACCAGGAGGTGGGGATCACTGAGACCATTTTAGAGGCTAGTGAGTTTGGATGGTGATAGTGAGTTTGGATATGCTAAATTGGAGACCCAACCTCCTAGTAGTGTTTACTACGGATGCAGATGGCTGTGTAGTTCTAGGGCTCAGAGACAATCTCCTCTCATTGGAAGGTAGCTTGGAGGCTTGGCGTGAGTTTACAAGTAATGTCCCAGGACCCTTTTGTTCCCAGCTTGTTTTGGAAGCTTCTAGAAGGGCTGAAGGACAGATAACTTGGAATCCCCAGAGTTCCTCGGGAGTAGGAAGTGTACAACCCGTAACTGCTGACTCCAGTACTCATCGGGGGCAGAGTACCACGTGATTGAAAAGCACTCGCTTTCTCTCTCTCTTTCTCCCCTTTTGACAATTCCTGCTCTGCCATCAAACCAGAGAGAGGTTTTCCCCTTTCTAAACTGCAGGTTTATGATCTGCATAAAGGGACTGTTAGACTAGATCAATAGTTTTTCAAAAAAATATAAGGCTTTTTTCTCTGGGGTCCCCAGTATATGAAATAGGTAAAAGTTAATTTGATCTGGCCTCCCCAGTGCTTCCCCAGAAAAGAGCCCGATTTTGAAAAACACTGGACCAAATAAATTCCTGATTTTTTTGCCAACTCTAACATGCCTGAGTTTCATGACAAGATCAACTCTAAGCTCCTCTCGGGTCTATTATTCTGCTTGTTGAGATCTCCTGAGGCAACACATTTCATTGAGCTTTTGAAAAGAAACCAAATTGTATTTCCTTGAACTTGTGAAAAAAATATAATAAAGCTGACCTTCTTTAAATACTTACTGTGTTTCAGGCACGGTGCAAAATATTTTACATACCATAATCTTTATTTGGTCCTGTCCCCCCACTACTAGAACGAAAACTCCATAAGGGGAGGGAACTTGTCTAGTCCATTGCTCGATTTCTAGAAGCTAGACTAGTTCCTGGGATATAGGAAAGCATTCAGTAAATATTTTTTGCATGAATGAATTATGGTAAGTACTATTCTTATTCCCATTTTACAGATGGGGAAACAGGCTCAGAGCTGCTAAGTAACTTGCCTATAGTTACACAAGTTAAAGGCAGAACTAGGATTTGAAATGAACCCCTTTAGCCACGTCCTGCCATTTCTCGGTGGTGGGATCCGTAGGAAACTGCAAAGGCACTAGCATATATGGGGTACCTCCTATAAGGCAAGGTACTTTTTGCTTCCATTAGCAGCTAACCCTGCAAATCAGCTATCGTGACTCCCATTTTTCAGATGGGGGATATGAAGTTTGGCAAGGCTAAGTACCACCCCTAGAGTGAGAGACAGAGGTAGGATTGGAGCCCAGTCTTTCTGACTCCACAGCATTTCCGTACAAGATCCTATATATTCGGCTACCTGCACCAAAGCATAGGTTCTGGAAAATACCACACCATTGGTGGGTGTAGGTCAATATGGCCAGTGAGGTTTTGCCTTCTCATTGAATTGAAAGCATCCACCAGGCTGAGAAAGAGTGAGTCTAAGCTTCTGAGTTGGAGGAAAAAGCAGTTGATGACTAAGGATGACAAACCTGGGCCCCATAGCCCGCTGCTCTCTGTAGCCTCGTCAACACCACTTGCCTCAGCTCAGGTCTGAAGTTAGACTGATGATGTCACCAGAGTCTCTTAAAGGGCTCATCACTCACAGCCACTTGTCATTTATTATTCAGCGGATCTATAATGCATGTAACATTTTCTACCAAATTTCCATTCCTTTCTTCTCATGACCAGGGAAAGAAAAATAGAGTCAGGATGACTTTTTCCAACTCCTCGTCCTTATGGCCTTTCCCTGAAGAATAACCTCATTTTGAATTACCCCCGAAAATGGTCATTCAGGCTTTGGTTTCATTAATAAGGATGAAGCTACAGTTTCATAATTACCATCTAACGAATGCACGTTCTATGGAGACAAGTAAATGAATTTCCCCTCATCTTTTCTTCCGGACTCCACAGAGGAGGGGACACCAGCTGTCCCTTTTTCTTTTTCTCTCCTTTATTCTTTGGGAAACTTTGGGACTGTGTCAATTCTGTTAGAAGCTTTCTACCTTCTCATCTACAGAGTTAATGAGAGCCCTCCCGAGAATCTGATGTCTTCATGGCTCGAGTGTGGATCTCATTAGAACGTGGGATCTCAAGGATCAGGAGGAGTCATGTAGGGGAAGGGTTGTTCCAGGCAGAGGGAGTGAGATGCTCAGGGTGGCTCACCCCATCCTAGGGCTTGTGAGGAACTGAAAGAAGCCAGAAGACAGCCCGCCCTGAAGCAGCACGCCGGGAGGAAGGGCAGGCGTGAAGCACAGATGGTGTTGGAGTTAGCCTGGGGTGTGGGCACAGTGACACAGCGCTCCCCGCTCAGAAGGGCTCTGTGCCTGGTTTAAGGCTCTGTGGTCACCATCGTGCAATTGTCAGTACTTTTGGAACAAGGGGTCCCTTATTTTCGTCTTGCGCTGGATCTTGTAAATGGTGATGGGTCAGTCTTTAGGGAAATCCTTTGGACTTTCTGAGAATCAGTTTCTACTTTTGTAAAATGGAGAGCAGGATCCCTCCCTCAAATACACACTGTCATGAGGATTAAGTGAGATTATGGTATGAGATTACATAATCGGTGCATTGTATAGTAAACGGTGCCTAATAAATATTCCCTTCTCCTTAGCTGAGAGGGTCTATCAGAATCACCTGGGCGGGTGGGGTGTTGTTTTTCCAAGTTCATTTGCCTGGGTTCCACTCTGATGGCTTCTGAGTCCCACGTGTGGGTTGGGGGAGGTGTGTGCTTAGGGCCCTTCAGGGATACTGAGGTACAGCTGAGCTTAAGAAAAGTAGCCTTGGGTTTTCTGAGATCTAGCTGAGAAGCAACTTAATAGAGGAGAGCAGATGGAGAGGGAGAAATTGATGGACCACTACTGATCCTTAACATAATAAAAAACCTGTTAAGGAAGAAAGAGGTCACTGAGAATGCTGAAATGCATTATGAGAACTTGTCCCATTATCAAGATTCCTGTAAAATGTTCTGCTGTCTATGTGGCCTGACAAATCCACCCAGAGGAAGAGAGGCCGTGGTCAAGAGAAGCCAGGGTCCAGGCCCAGGGTGGGGGCAAAGTTCGAATTTACCGTCCTCTTAATGACCTTACTGCCATACTCGGTTCTTGAAAAGCAATTGTAGCTGGAGGGAGTAATCCTGAATTATGTTTATCCGACCCAGATTCTAGGCTTTGACATTCTTCTGATGAAAAACCTGAAGCCTATCCTACTTGAAGTAAACGCGAACCCCAGTATGAGAATCGAACATGAGCAAGAAGTAAGTACTGGGACTGTCTCTTTTGAATATGTTCCCCGACCGCTGCTGGTGCTTGCTCGGCTCAACGAGACTCAACATCCTCAGCCTGGCCCAATCTCAGCTTGGTGGAGCTCTGAGCAGCGTCTATAAATATAAGACCTTTCCGACCCATGGTAACTTCCCAGCATGCCGTTCTTCGCGTTTTTAAGGTCTGCAGACACAGAAGCAGCTGAGCCTTTCCATCAGTTTTGACATGAACTAATTAGTTAGCCTCAGGAGATGAGCTAATTGAAATTCTATGAATATGATTTAGCCATGTCGACATACTCGAGTCACTAAGATAAATAGTACAATTTAACAGTGGTTTTATTTTTCCTCCCCCCACCTTAAAAAAACACATAAAAAAGACTGGAAGGAAATACACCCACTACTAATATTGGGTTTTGGGGGGGACCCTATGGGCTCTTTTAATTTTCTTAGCCCCGTCCGTATTTCCAAGTTTTCTACACCGAACATGGATGATTTTGATGGTTAGATAAACCTAGTGCTCTTTATGTATGTTTTCCCCTTTATGTCTTTTGTGGATTTGTTAAAGGAAATTGCCATTGTAAAAGTAGCATGAAGGGAGCCTTTTAAAAATTCTCCTCTATAGATTGATATGAGCAAAACCTAACTAACAGAACAGCCAGTAGAGCTGGTGAGGGTAGTCGCTTGGTACCAAGTCACTCCCTCCACCGTAACACAGAATCCTTACCCATTCAAGCTTTCTCCAGGGGTGTTCGAAAATGTCCCCAGCCTTGTCGATGAGGAAGTGAAGGTGGCCGTGATCAGAGACACGCTACGCCTCATGGACCCACTTAAGAACAAAAGAGAGAACCAGTAAGTATTTTTTTATATCATTCGTTTCTATCAACTCTGCTCCGTGTCCTAGCCACTCAGTTCTTGGAACATTGTAGCATGGTGAGATGTACATGTTAAACCATCTAACCCATCATATTTTCATTTATGGTTATCAGCCTCCAAATATACTGACTTAAAATCAGGAGGTGGAGACTTGTATATGAATCCGACATTTGGGATTCAGCTGATGAATTTTCTTTTTTAGAGATTATTTATTTATTTATTTATTTGACAGAGAGAGATCACAAGTAGGCAGAGAGGCAGGCAGAGAGAGAGAGAGGGAGAAGCAGGCTCCCTGCTGAGCAGAGAGCCCGATGTGGGACTCGATCCCAGGACCCTGAGATCATGACCTGAGCCGAAGGCAGAGGCTTAACCCACTGAGCCACCCAGGCGCCCCCAGCTGATGAATTTTTAGCTGATTGTTATTTGAATCTAGAGATTCTCTTCCACAAACCCCCTTCCCCCGCTCCCTGAGATGGGATCCCCTCTTGCCCACCATTGTTCACAGAGTGCTTCTCTTGGAAATGCTCAAGCCTAGGGAGAGACCACAGGTCACTTGAACGTGATAAAGATCATTTTCTTTTTACCTTCTTTGTGACGTTTACACTCTGGCATTATAAGCTTTTTGTTTCAACATTCACAGAGCCACTTTAAGGAAGTTCTGAAGTTCTATCATCTTTATGGCAATTATAATTCCCCTCCATTCCACACACCCCAGGGCGCATAACCAAGGTGGGGATGCTGGTGGGAGTACATGTCCCGCTCCTTCCTCTAGGGATCACCCCTGAAATGAACGGCATCTCATTTGGGTATTTTGTTTGTTATGTTTTTGCCAAGTTCCTGGCTCTCACAAAGTATGGGTTGAGTAAATATTGTTACGCTTGTTTGAGGCAGAAAAATCAAAGACAGGCATTTCAAATAGCATTCTTTATCTCCCCACCTCCCCCTACCCCCGGTAAATCAGATTGACCTAAACACTTGCAAATGCAGCCCTTGTCAGCTATGGTTCGAGACTGCAAGGAACACTGGCTTCCCCTTCCTAAGCCAGGTGTGTCCTGCAGGTCCCCACACCGCAACACCTCACCAACTGGGCTCACGCCGAGATACCGAGATACCGTTAGAATATTCTGCAATGGAGCTTCTCCCTTGGCTGCGCGTTAGAACCATCTGGAGAGCTTTCATAAATACCAGTGTGAGGGCCCCCGCTTCTAGAGACACTGGTTTTAATTAGCCTGAACTGGAGGCCTGGCCGCATAAGTCTTCTGCGTCCCCTAGGGGATCCTCCCAAGAGGCCGAGGTGGAGTGCCGCTGCCCCGCCGGAAATGTCACACTGGAGGAGTGTTTATCTTAATGCTGAGTCGGGCTGGATGGTGCCAGCTTGGCTGAGTGCCCCTCCCAAATATTCTCCACCACAGAGTGCCACTGTTGGCGAGACTTGTCTGAGAAGTTTCACCTGCTGTCCACAGGGCCCGTCCTGCAAGGTGCAGGTCCCACCAATTATAAGCTGCAAAGTGGTGTCCTGTTGGGTCCCATGCACGCCCAGCGTGGCTCCCACAGCATAGCGGCCGGGAGCGCGACCAGGTTGGCAGTTTGCTGAGATTAATTGCAATAAACCTCATTCCTTGAAAATAGACTCTCCAAAGGTTATTGATCTCCCTGATGGAGATGAGGTCTCGAGAGACTGTAGGGCACTCTGGGGAGGTTTGGGAGGCTGCCCCATGTCAGTGTGGCACATTAGAACAACGCTTTAAAGATGACCTTGACACACGAGCGCTCTGATTTTGTTGGTGGCAACAAATTCGAAGGCCATTGTGTGGCCGCCAAAGATAGGAAGGGATATAAGAGAATCACTGTATTTTCACATTAAACGGTATCAAAACACAATTAGCTTTCTTTTCCTTGGTTTAGTGGTTTTGCTTTTCCTACACCTGGCATTCTGGATCATCTTTGAGAGCTGTAGATTGAAAATTGAGTAGCGATGGGGCACAGGACCAGGATGAGAAAGCCATTCACAACTTATCAATCATAAGTAGCAGAACCTGGTTTTAAATGAAGGAGTGTTGCCTTTTTTTTTTTTTTAACTGATAACCAGGAATAGTTAAAAATTTTAGAACCTGACCTTGATTCTAATATAAAACCCTTCTATCTCCCTCTATTCTTACCTGTTAACATAATAGTGCATATTAATAGCCAAATGTCATTTACCGATAATTTCCCTAAATTTCACCTTAAAAAAAAAAAACCCAACAATGATTCTTTATGAAAGCACTTTGTAATCTGTAAAGTGCATTTATGTAAAGAATAATTATTACCATTTTGGTAATTTTATCATGCAGATAAAAAGGCTAAAATTATCCTCAACTCCTCTGTGTAGAAATGTATCAGAATAACTTGGAAGAGCACCGTATTTATGCCCACGGAAAGTGGCCAGGGTAGTAGTACTGAATCGTAAGTGTCCAAAGCTGAAACCATGTGGTTCCGGCTGCAGGAAACGTCGTCACAGAGACTTCTGGGCTGGGAGGCAGCTTTAGAAACCAGAGTGTCTTGTGTTTATCTATTATTTTTTAAGATTTTATTTATTTATTTGACAGACAGAGATCACAAGTAGGCAGAGAGGCAGGCAGAGAGAGGAGGAAACAGGCTCCCTGCTGAGCAGAGAGCCCAATGTGGGGCTCGATCCCAGGACCCTGGGATCATGACCTGAGCCAAAGGCAGAGGCTTTAACCCACTGAGCCACCCAGGTGCCCCGTGTCTTGTGTTTAAATAGGATCTGACCTAACCCTTTAAAAACAATTGATGACCCGTGTCTTTCGCTACACGTCTTTAGCCAAAGAGGGTCTAAAGTGTCCCTCCCTAGTTCCTTCTTGAGTACCTGTGAGGAGGGTCCTCACTCTCTCCATACAGATTGAAGACAAACAGTAGATAGGTGTCCTGACCTCTTCATGCCTCTGAATGTCCTTGGGAAGTTGCAGAGGGGGCTCGTGTCCATGCCTGGGCCTCTTCACACTCCTCAGGGACTTACGGGCTGGGGTCCGTTTCCTGGTGGGACTGAAAGCTGTCCCCATGCCTTCCCCAGGAACGGGAACCTCTGACTGCTGGTACCCATCTTGGCATAGCAGGAGGCTCTCTCTTGAGCTCAAAGAGACCAGATTCAAGTTCTGACCTTGGGGATGTGGTGCAGCTGGGTGAGCCTCGGTGTCCTTTTCAATGAAATGACATTTAATTGAAACAGGAAGCCTATTGGTAAATAATAGCTACTTAAATGCTTAGCTCACTACTCAACAATAAAATTCTCTACTAGAGTATGAGAAAACAAAAACAAGGCTTAGCTATCATTATATTTTCTGGTATACTTAAAGTAGAATTTTGAGTTGAAAACCAGCGACGTATCCTAAAACTGAGGCTGCTGGATCACTGTGGACTAGAAATGACATGGGATCTGGTTGCCAATGGAACATTCTGTTTCCAAGGAGCAAGATGTCACTGTTCCAGGCATATTTCTTTGTCGGATTGGGAGAAAATACATTTGGCCCCTGAAGGAATAAAATAGCTACCATATGAGAGCTCTTTTGAACTAAGATAATGTTTTATAATATCTAGAGACTCTGATTTACATCGTAGGGTTCTTTGGAGGCACTGAAGGGACAGGGGAAAGGGGAGGCTCATGGGGTGGGACTCTGGAAATGTCGTGTATCTGTACACACACATATATGGTGGTAATATTCACATAGTATAAAATTAGGTATTTAAATTCCATAACATTTAGTATATTCACAGAGTTATGCAATAAGCACCCCTACCTAGTTCCGAAATGTTTTGTCACCCCAAAAGGAAACCCTGTACCCATGAAATAGCCAGTCCTCATTTCCACCTCTACCAACCTACTCTCTGCCTCTGGCTATATTTATGCTAAATACTTCATATAAGTAGAATCATACAGTATGCAATATTTGTGTCTGCTTTCACTTAGTGTGTTTTTTTTTTTTAAGATTTTATTTGTTTATTTGACAGACAGAGATCACAAGTAAGCAGAGAGGAAGACAGAGAGAGAGGAGGAAGCAGGCTGTCCTCGGAGCAGAGAGCCCAATGTGGGGCTCGATCCCAGGACCCTGGGATCATGATCCCAGCCGAAGGCAGAGGCTTTAACCCACTGAGCCACCCAAGTGCCCCATCACCTAGCGTGTTTTTGAAGTTCACCCATGCTGAAACACATATTGGTGCTTATTCCTTTTTCTGACCAAATAATATTCCATTATATGGATATACCATATTTTATTATCCATCTGTCACTCCATAGACATTTGGGTGGAAGCAATGAACTCTTTTATATTTCAGCATTCTGTAGGTTTCATTTGAGAACAAAGAATCTTTCCTGCTACAAGAAATTTTTAAAATTCCCAGTTTAGTTCAACCTCCTCATTTTATTGGGAGAAGTACGGATGGTGAGAATTGGAAGGGATCTTAGAGACCATCATGCTGTTGGGCGCCTGGGTGGCTCAGTGGGTTAAGCCTCTGCCTTTGGGTCAGGTCATGATCTCAGGGTCCTGGGATCGAGCCCCACATCGGGCTCTCTGCTCAGCGGGGAGCTTGTTTCCTCCTCTCTCTCTGCCTGGCTCTCTGCCTACTTGTGATCTCTCTCTGTCAAATAAATAAATAAATAAATCTTAAAAAAAAGAAAAGAAAAGAAAAGAAACCATCATGCCAGTCAGCTCCCTGGCCAAGACTCTCCCTCCTAAAGGTCCCTGCAGAGGAGAAGCAAGTGTCCATGTGGGGCACAGGTATGGCATTGGTCTGGCCTGGGGGGAGGTTTTCAACCTCTGATCACTGTACTATTAGCTTGGCCTGCTTTCTGATCTGGTCTCTAACATGGGGATTGAGCTATCTCCTAGGCTGGATTGTCATGGTCAGCACATGAAGTGACACCTAGGGGAGAGCCTCATGATGTCTGAAGACATTAGACAAATACCAGTTCTTAGGCC